AGGAAAGAGAGTGCTGGGTACGGAAAATAAAGAATTAAACAAAAGTTGAACCAATTATCACTACACACCCGCTCGATGCTATGATCAGCGACTACCGATGTAGTATAGAATTGTTTTGCTTGGTAGGCATTATGAGTTTTGCAGTGATCAGTGAAGTCCGCCCGACTGTATTCTGTCATGTGATGATGATCGTTCGAATGACTGTATATGACGCGATCCGAACTAGTTGATTAGTGATACCACTTTCGTAATTTTATTCAAACGTGTTGTCTACCCTTGAAGTACACATGGATTGAAATCCTTTCTTGGTTATTTTTGTAGGTTCTCGCAGATGCGGAGAAGCGGAGCATTTATGACCAACATGGTTTTGAAGGCCTTAAACAATTCGGCTCTGGTGGTGGAAGTCACGAAAGTCACTTCAGTGACTTGTTTGAGAGCTTCTTCGGATTTTCACATGGTCCCCGGTCCGACGAGACTCCTCGTGGTGAAGATGTTGCTACAGACTTATGGGTGACTTTAGAAGAGCTGTACAACGGCGAGTTTGTCGAAATAACTCGGGTTAAAATGGACAAGAAAAGTGCCCCGGGTAAACGAAAGTGTAAATGCCGCCGAGAAATGCGTACAACTATGCTGGGACCTGGTCAGTTCCAGATGCACCAGGTCGATGTCTGTGATGACTGTCCAAATGTAGTGTAAGTCTATGCGCATATTCACATTCGTTGCTGTAGGTGTACAACAAACCGTCAATTGGTTGTGTCCTAGAATAATTAGTACACCTTTGCTTGAAAAGGTATCTATGCACATTCAGGTTATGTACTCTGTGTTGACCATAGAGGTTCACATTCTCTGCCTCCCTCCAATTACTCCCAGACCCTATCCATCTTTTACTTTCTGTACATTGAGAGCTTGGCAACCATCCTCGAAGTTCAGTTCTCTGTATCTCGCTGTACGATGTTGATGATGCCACAACCAGCCGGTTAAGGTCAGAAAATGTGTCTAGGTATTCGCCATTTTCGCAACGCTGACCAACACCGAACTTCCCCAGAACACGCCGAGTATGCTCATCTGCTGAACCTGTGCGTACATCCCCATCTCCTGCGGTAAAAAGAACATCACGTGTCGGACTGTAGTTGACTGCGTCTCAAACTTGATTGTCAAAATCATCTTTGATGGGCGCTTCCACCGGTAACGTTAGAGAATCAGCAGTGATAGTAGTCAGGTTAAGTATGGTACTTCTGAAGTGCATTATAACAATCCTGGGATAGAATAGTTCCCAGGAGATAGCATTGTTGACCCGGTCGCTCACATCGATTGCTACTCCATGCACACCGGAGTTATCAGTTGATCCTGGGTTTCAGTCGGCAGGATCGTTTTTTTCTTTTTTTATGATTACTGTACCATGATTTGCCTGGCACACAATCTGTCCTCAGACAAGTGTGAAATATAGTATTCAGTCAGCAGGTTACGTCGGTATGTGATACATCAATGTATTTTGTGCCACAGTTAGGCACTTCGTAACGTCCCCGGTGCCACCTGGCTTTTTTCGAAGTTGCATCTGTGTGAATTGCAGCGTAATAGGGTAGAATAGTGTTGACAACCGGCGACTCTCTAAACGTCTTTCGGATGGCGCAGCGCCAATTCAGGATCCCAACATGTCCGCTTAGTCTTAGGGTCAGTGGATAGTGCTCGGTTCGTACACTCCTCTCAAACCTTGTCCTGCTCAGGGAACTAGCCCATTGACAGTGACCTTATTTGAAGACGAGTCACCTAAGCATTACGATGTTGTTAACAGGCGCTGATGGGCTTTTAAAACGGCATACCCGTTACCAACCGGAAACGGTACCGCATCCTCTGGCATCGTCGCTGATCGTCCGAGACTGAAAAACGCACTCGGAGGTATTCAGCTACGCTATCCGTGTCCAATCCATTGTCTTTTTAAGTTGAGTGACAACAGTAGAGTTAAAAACTTTGAACCCGCAGCGCATGCGCCATGAACCATTCAGATAGTTTAGAAATATATTGAACAAAAGAACTACGTCTAAAAGTGTGCTTCGTTTTCAGGCAAAGTGAAAGAGTTCATCTGCTTTTCGTTTTCGTTCACAGGTTTCAACCAGTGGAGCGCACATTGGAAGTTGAGGTAGAGAAGGGGATGGTCGATGGTCACGTTTATCCCTTTCCTTCAGAGGGTGAAGCACACATTGACGGAGATCATGGCGATTTGAATTTTAAAATTCGACAGCAAAAGTGAGTATTTTTCATAATGTTATATTAGGCTTGCTATTTTACCAGTGCTGTGTTCTGTCTACAGAAAACTGGAGGAGAATTTTAGTGATCACTTACAAGGTGAACTATTCGAACCTGCTTCCTCAGTTTGAGGTGAAACAACGGATAATCTACTATTCCGAAAGTCGTCCTTCACAGGAATCAGCTTGACAATATGAACGATGACCGAAACTTGCTTCTACTTTTACGATGTATTACCCAATCTACCTTTTACTTGAATAGCGCTGGTGATAGCGGGAATCCCTGACAAAATCCAAAGTTCGAGGGGAACTGTGCTTATTCTTTAACATGCTTGAAACAGATGTGAACGGGTCGTCACTTCCGCGAGTTACCTAGACTAAGATGAAATATTGTGTAGTTGGACATGTTTTCATGTACAAGCACACTTATCTGGGGTAAGGTTATGTTAAAAACGGTTCTGTTGTCTCCCGGTTCACTACCATGTCTGTTCTATTAAAGCATTGTATGATTCGTCACCCCAAGTCTCAGGATCATGGTTGGCACTTTTCTAACTTCATGGATTATGGATTACACACGCCCTCTCTCTAGTCACTATACTCGCCAAGCAGTCATGAACTCATCACTCCACCTTCCTTCGCGAACTGTTCGACCTGAAAGCTGCTTTCGACTCAGTCGACCGCTTTAAACTCTGGCGCTGCCTTTCCCTGAAGGGTGTGCCCGAGAAGTTTATTTCAATATTACAATCCCTCTACACTAATAGCCGAAGCCGAGTTCGAGCTTACGACACTTTTTCACCCGAGTTTACCACGGAAAGTGGTGTTCGACAGGGTTGCCCTCTCTCTCCATTTCCATTTAACTTTGTTAGAGATCTGATTATGGAAACAGCCATATCCTCGTGTGGGGATAGTGGCATCGATTTACTCCCAGGCGGTAGACTGTCTGATCTAGAGTATGCAGACGACATTGTGCTACTAAGTGACGATCCAGGTAAGTTGCAAGCTTTTCTGGATAGTTTGAGTTCTAGTGTAGCGATGTTCGGTATGCGCTTTGCACCTTCAAGGTGTAAAATACTGCTCCAAGATTGGGTTGGCCCAGTCCCCAGCCTCACCCTGATCGAGGAAGTTGTAGAGAAAGTGGATAAGTTTTGCTACCTGGGCAGCTGTATCTCACCTGGCGGACGCATCACAGATAAAGTGTCGGCACGCATACAGAATGCTCGGTTGGCATTTACCAACTTGAGACATCTGTGGCGCCGTCGCGACATCCGGTTGTCTGTGAAGGGTCGAGTATATGCTGCCGCAGTTCGGCCAGTTCTGCTTTACGGTGCAGAGACTTGGCCATTATGGGAACAGGATAAAAATAGACTGTCGGTGTTCGAACACCGCTGTTTGCGTAGCATTGCACGAGTCTGGTGGGGAAACCGGACTAACAATGCTGAAGTTAGGCGTAGAGTTTTAGTTAATCGCGGTCGTCCTCTGGAACAGGTAGTCGACCTCCATAGATTACACTAGTTGGGACATGTGCTGCGCATGCCACCAGATAAGTTGCCACGGCGTGCGATGCTTGGCGAGGCAGGTAGCGATTGGAAAAACTTGAAGGGCGGTCAAGCTAAGACCTGGCATAAGGGTATGAAAACCCTGACCAGTAGACTGGCTCATATAGGCCCCGTTAGGCTCCCTGACTGGGGACCCAGAGGTTATGGTCACCGGTGGTTAGAGACACTGAGCGATATGGCTGGGTGTCGCAAACAGTGGCGCTCATGCATCTACTCATTATTCTTGTAACTTCAGTCTATGAAAATGTGCTACCTTTCGCTTTAATCTGCTCTCAACATTCTAATCATAACCATTCTGCTATTTTATCCAAATGGGAAACCAAACCGGCGCACAAAAGTGCATGGTTAATGGTTGTAAGAACTGAACTGAACTGGACCGTCAACCGTATCGTGGTCCTTATGGGCTATCACGCTTACCTCTAACCTCCGCGATTAAAAGTTCTGCATTTCGACTATGAACACCGGTCTTTGTAACCCTATTTTGTTCCACAATCCGCTAATAACTGCTGTCATACTTCAGGTTTAAGGTACCCGACGGATTCGCGAATATAATCGTACTCAGCATCTTTTATTACGTTTACGAGCTGATAAATATGCTTATAACTTACCTGTCAACCTTGGGTTTGTAATGCGGGGTTGGGACTTCGTTACTATTGGTGCATTTCATGAATCATTGTCATGGTCTATTGAGTAATTGATTTCTTATCAGACAACCACTGATCCAAACATGATTTCCGCTTTGATCTTTTCCTCCCAGACACAAATTGTTCCATCGACGAGGAGATGATCTTTACACAAATGTAACCATCAGTTTATTGGAATCACTAATTGGCTACCATATTTCTCTGACTCATTTGGATGGACATCAAGTAAGTTCCTCTCTTTCAATGACCCTAGTCATTGTTGCCGTTTTTAATGGTCGGATTATCAAACCAAGCACTTGTTCGCTGTAAAAATGATTGGTTATGTAATAACCCTTAAACGGTTCATACAAAGTTCCTAATGATTGTTTACTGCGTCTTATCTCTTTCAGGTCGTATTAAAAAGTGACAAAGTAACGGCACCGTTCACGGTAATTTCCTTACCAAAGGAAGGAATGCCAAATCACGCTAATCCGGCGAAGTTCGGTTCGCTGTACGTGACGATACATGTGGAGTATCCAGCAGGTCGTGTCCTGAACGCTGCGGAACGCGAATCCCTTTTGCAACTCTTCCCCTCTGTGGATTCAAAGTTGACTGACGAACCCTCACCTGCACGTGCTTTCAACGGGCTGGATAGTCTAAACCAACGATCCAAATAAATGGCATCTTGCTTGCAATCTTCGTTGCTTTGCTCTTACTTTCACCGTTTTTTACCTGTTTTTACCCGGCTTCCCAGTTACTGCTTTTTGACCGTATTCTGTATTCTCATGTACATGTGTTACTTGGTTTTACAAATCCTTGACTCTCCTCATTTTCTGTACAGCTGTTTGATCAGATCTTGTGAAAAAACTGTACAACTAGGACGGAATCAGATCTATTTTGATGAGTTTTAGTTTCCCTTTTCAGTGTTATCATCGACTAACGTTCTGATAGCAGAGAAACTTATGGGAGTATTGACGGAGTCCCGTCGTATGGAAGTGAATGAGTGAGTTGGAAACCAGGTTTGAGATCTGTGAGTTTGCATGTGAGTTCTGAGTCGACTCAGAAACACTGTATGTGAAAAACTGCTTCGTTGGCGTGTTTCGGTGGTTCAATATAGCCTGTTTGGAATCCGCTGCCGTCGACCGACTGCATTAAACCACGAATTCAGTCGTCCAATTGGCATAACAGGGCAACCCCTCGCATAATCCAGTGACTTTCCGGTTTGTCCGACGTCAGTAACATAGGCAACACAAAGTTGGTAGAGTGACCCGTTGTGGAGAGCACGCCTCGTCGTTCACTGGTCTTGTACACCGGAGCAGTATAGCTGGGCCTGGGCTTGATGTCCGCCTTTTTGATGGGTTGTAGCCAAATCTGCAAGGTAAATGTGTAACGTGAATTGTAACCTTCTGTCCCATTGATGCTCAGTAGTTAATTCTGTTGTCACAACCAACACACGAACTAACATGGCGGTTGAGAGCGCACCAATCATCGTCAGTGTAGCCAAGTCAATTAGTGTCTTGTTATTTGAACGCATGATATATATGTAAAGACAATTTCAATCGGGATTGAGCCTGTCTTTTGCCCAACAGGGTCTCGCGCAGTAATTTTTGTGTAGCAGTCCAAAGTATGCTCATTCTCGTTTCAGCCAGTCCTTCGCGGCGCTAACAAAACCAGAGCGCGAAAGTGTATGGTTAATAGTTTTAAAAACTACTGAACAAAGATTTGGAAAAAATAAACACCGACAACACTTTCGAATTTGGGATGAATTGCAAATCGTTTACTGTTTCGTACGTACCGGTGGCATTGGATCCTGAAGTACTTTGGGCATTGATTCCGCCAGCTGTTTGGTCTTGCGATCCCATCTGGCTCCATCCACAAACAGGCCGGATACATAGGCCCCTGCACAGAATGCAGGCGAAAAAGATGGAGTAAGAACATTAATAGGCTATTGTGATAAAAAAAAATACTAAATGGCAACCTCTGCATCAAGCTTGACCAATAAGGAAAGTACGTGGCCCTAGTAACAAAAACGTACTGTTCATCATTCCTGAACTGTCTAAGACTTACTTGGGTTCTCGTCTGATTGAATTAAAGCAGGCTGCTTTTCCGCTGAGATGATCTCCATCATAAATATAAAATTGGGGGGTGGGTGGGTAGACATTACGAGCATCGTTTGCTGATACATAACGATCCCACAATAAAGGCCAACTTCTCCGGTACGTCCAACGGGCTGAGGCGAATCCCGAGTGAAATACCGAAAATTTCACTTAATTCAGGAAGGCCGTAAAACATTCAAGAGTTCGGTTTGTCTTGCATGGTCGGATTAGTTTGATCATTGCCGCTGACTGAAAACTGGACACAATGATTGTGCATAGCGTAACCACCCAATGCAGTCCAGTCGTTTATTATTGTTTGATACTACATAGACAAAGTTTATTTAGAAATTATTCAATTTATAAGAACCGCGTGCAGTCGTATTCATAAGATGATTGTCTTACCCTCCTCTGGTGGTGTTGTATATTTCTGGTCGTCCAACACTTCAAACTCGAACGAAAGCAAATCAATGGGGATGGTGTGCTTCCTAGCGTAGTTCTGTTGCACTCCGGTAAGGAAGGCTTGTGTGAAAAAGAAACCTGACATCCAAAATACGGGCGGGGCTTCTTGTTCGTACCAATCCTGGAATAAATACGGGGATGGGAGTGGAAGTTCAATAGTAATGATAACTGGGTTCCTTCTCCTAATCTGAAAGCAGCTAGCAAGGTAATGTTCATGACGGAGATGAAAACCAAGGAAAGTTGACCGGATAAGTATTTGTTGTTTCTGGCTCTTTGAACAAAATAAGAATATTTAGGGCGTCGGAATACAGGGAGCAATATCCATACCGCTGAATCACCAACTAAGAAATTATTTTAATGTGCAATTCGAAAGTCGGTTGGCGTGTATTCCACGAAAAACGGTTGGATAATCAGCAGCATTGAAGTCATAAAAACGTCTAAAATCCCTTAGTGCGAATTTGGAGTAGAATACAACTCTCCTGGTAAAATCACCGTTCATGACAGTTGGAAATTGCACCTTCATTCAAATTCAAATTTTTATTATGGGATATAACTTACAAAGACTTCGCTTTTACAAATCC